TTATATTTATTTATTTGATTAATATCATATTGCAAAAATAAATATCTTTTTATATAAAACGTGTTAAAGATACACGAGCGATTTTTGTTGCTAATATTGATTATCAGCGCCAACAAACAACAAAAAAACGCGCCGAAATTATTTTCGTTTAGTTCTACGAGCCTCGTTAGCAACATCGTCTGTAATCATCGAGGCTGCGATCGCTTTGTAGCTCCCAAACATTTAAAGCGCACGTGTTAATCGATCGGATCGGTCTCCCCAACATTTTCCTGATGGGCTGTTGAACGTCCCCGATTCTCGCCCCTCGTAGCTCAGACGGCACATACGCGCGTATTCGTGCTCCCGTACCCGCCGTATTGAATACAACGGAAAGGCTATTAAATTTGTTTTTGTCCGAGCGTCATAATCGCGTCTCGAGGACAGCGCTTGTGCAGAAGACCTTCTCTACCAATCTGACGAAAGAGAGACAGAGAGGAAGAAAAAAAAAGGAGAGATCTCTCTTAAGCCTGCGGGCGGTCAACGAAAAAATTGCATTTGTAAACAGTCGGCAGATGTATCTGGATCTGCGTATTTTACCTCGTTTGCATCGATTTCATCGATTTTCTTCAGCTCTACGCGTCTCATTGCGCGCATCGATTTTATTTACTGTTCACGCTCGAACGCGGAGGTAAAATAAATTGCCGGTCTGTGTTGCCTGTAAAACGTGCGGACCTGTCGGGGCACCTGATTTGCGGTGCTCGTAAAAGTTGATGAAATAGATGCGATTAGATCTGCCGGCGAGATCGACAGCACGAAACCCATTAGGTGCGCGAACACCCGAAAGATTCGATTAAGTGTACTCGAGATACCGATACTTGTTGAGCACTCCACTAATAATCATCAAGTACAGATAAAGTCTTGTCCCGAACTACAAAATAAGCACTGATTTGTTCGCGACCTCGGAAGGAACGGGGTGAGCTTTATTCATCCAAGTATATGTGTGCGAATTTATCCAGGAGCTCCATTATCACAAAAATTAATCTTATCGAGTCAGTCGAGCATTTCGAGAGAATTGTTCTCACATTGTTCTCATACACTACGTTTATTCAAAATACAATTTAGCACCATCAAAATTGTAATTGGGACTTTTAACTAATGGTTTTGATTGAAACTTTAAAGCTCGTAGAGAAACTTGCCTTGACTTAATTAATCAGGAGAGCGTATTAAGTAGATTGTTCATATTCAGCAAATATATATCAAGTTAAAGTTAAAAACCGTACTCCAGAGAAAGTATAATAACTGACAAGCGTAAGAAACTACTTTCGGGCGACTAACAGCGTTAGTATACCAAGTTCAAGCGGAGTAGAAGCGCGTGTTCGTGGACGAGATCTCGATTTAAAATCCGACTTGCTTTCCAATCCCGTTCAACATTGTTGTACGGATGGAAACAAGAAATATTTAAATAATATAATACGAATTATATAATATCTTCGAGTATTTTCAATACAGTGTTAAATTTAACATATTTTATTTATTACAAATATCAAATAAAAATTAAAAAGTTGCTGTTGTAAAATTTAATGTGACAATAAACACGAAGGCATCCCGGAACTTCCGAATGTTGTCAATCGTCAGTTTTTATAACGAATTTAAAATCAATAACGAAAAGCTGGTCCTAGACAAGGCGCTTTTAAAAGTCACTATATCGCTTATGAATTTTCTATTTTAATAAGAAATATCTTAACAGTTATAATGAGAACATTGGATTTCTTTTAAAATAAAATTCAATTTGAACTTTGAACTAACTGGAAAACAGTGTAAAGTTTTTTTTTCTTATTTACAAGACATGTATCCGAGGCCATTTATCACGTCCAATTTTTTTCGACGTTGAATAATTTGTCAGCGTCTTACGCGATTAAAAATGACGGTCATTTTTCTTAGCTCGTTCTCCATTATCTGCGGTCGAGAGGACATTATTTTGGTGATTTTTTAAGATATTCTGCGTAAACACGGTGCGTAAGCGTTGATCGATACGTACGTCGTAACCACGTGAAAGTTTACGCAACGGAGAATCGGGGTAACGTCGGATAAGGACGCGGTGACGCGTTTCTGCTTTTGCGCAAAGCCGGTATTACGGGGCAGGCCGTGCCTGCGAGCACGCGCAAAACTCGCCGTACGCACGTGGTAATCCGATATCGCGAGGACACATGCTTACATGCCGCACGCGTGCTCCTTCATGCGCTCGTCTCGTCCGGCAACATTTACGATTGCGCCGCGCAAGCTGTTGCACATCCGTCGGGTTTCACGGTACGGCCAGTAATTCCTCTGTCACGGTTCGAAAGATTAGCACCTTGTAGCAATAAAAAAGATTCTCGTATTCACGAAGCTGCGCGTTTAAGTCTCCGATACATTTTCGTCCTTTTCTGAAGATGGATTTGATAACATGCCTCGTGCAAGAGAAAGCCTCATAAAAACTTGCATCCGTTTCGACATGCAACCTGCATAACTTATGTTATTGATCCATTATACCCTTCAATTGGAGGGTTCTAGGCAGGTTTCTCCGCGCGCGGAATGTCCTAGAGAGAATGAAAGAGCGAACTTTATTATTTCTTTCTTCGACTATTTTTTTAATCACAAGTTGAATTTTTCTTAAAATTATTTGTCTCGCGATGTAAAAAAAAATACACTTTTTCGATATATCCAGTGATTACGAAGATGGTAAAGGTAAAAAAATTCGAAGTATCTGTTTCTCTCAATAATTGTTCTTCCGGAACTCATTTGTTAGCGTTAACAAAAGCAAAACAAAACACAAAATTGTCCGTTTGACAGAAACAAACTTAGATTTCTGCAAAATTCTACAATTCCGTGAATTCTCGGATACACCTCGCGGTTTGAGACATATATGCCGAATACGAAGGCCTTAATACTTGTGTCCTCAGCCTCGTTTATACGGCGGCAAAAAATTCCCTTGCGGGAGTGTCCTGCGGCGTAACGTTCGAGGTTCGAGGGCCCATCGGAAATCGTGCATCGGCGGAAGAGCTCCGCTTCCCGCCGGGTTCTCGCACGGCCGTATATATGCGTTCTGCGGCAACGTGCGCGCGCGCGCGCGCGGGGGTAAGGCACGTATTATGTACGCGCGCTACTCGGCACTCGGCTCGGCTCGGCGCGGCGCGGCGCGGTGTGTGAATAGCGAGCACGTGCATTTCCCACAGAAAAGCAATGGGGGCTACGCGCCGCGGCGTCGCGGCCAGCTGGGAACACGGCCGGGGTTCGATACCGCTCGCCTCGGTCTTTCGGGGTAGACACCGTAGACGGCCACCTTCAAAGAGACACGTATCGATAATCTTGTTCATTTCGAATAAATTGTCGTCCGCGATCGAGGCCGCGATGAATTAGGAGATGTTCGACAAGCTTGTCGCTAAACAGGCCACTCGCCACGTGGAAGTTAATCTGAAGCGAAGAAATAAAAATAAAGTGAAATATTGTTTAATCGTTCTCTATTTGTTACGCAAATAGAAAAAATTTATTGTTTTTAGGATTGCTTGAATGGCTTATGTTTATAAAGTATCTTTAAAAATATTTACGAGTGTTTCTCTAAAAATATAAAGAAAGGTCCATACTCTTTAATATGTGTGCGTATCTATAATAGAGTCACTTATTAAATTAGGAAAAATCAATCGGTATCTCCTCTATTCATCTCACTCTAACGTGTTCTAGAGGTATTGTAAAATGAGTTTTCAACACACTTGAATACATGTTATTATTAAATTTTTCTTTGGATCTGGAAGCTAATCGCGGAGATTTCCTCGTTTCCCTGAAAATCTTCAATTCTTATTGTACAACTATCACTGGCTTAAATTTATTTGCGCGGGGCGATGCCAAGTAGGAAATATGACCTTCTCGAATTATTCAAGTATATCGTGAATGATTCCGGCGTATGTTATTACTACGTCGCAGAGATTATGAAATAAAGATCCGTTGCAATGCGCCAAACACAGACTGTATCGATTGGCATAAATCTATTCGTTTCTAACGGGAATCGATTGCACGAGTATGATCTTGACTTGGCGAATGGGCAACCACGTTTCTGTCGCAAATGCAAAAGTTCACACTGCCATTTAAACCGAATTAACTCTCGCCAGGATGATTGACGACGTATTATCGTCCATTGCGCATTATAACGTTGTAAGCCCGATCGTTTCAAATTATCCGAGGTGATACGTTAACTATTAGTCTGCAAGTTATTACGTTACTTAAATATTGAACAGACTAATCTCAACAGGTTTTTCTTATCAATATACACGATTAAATGCATCGATGTGCAAAATTGTAATACCGCTCTTATTCATTTATCATTCCAAATGTTTTGTCCCCTTCTTTCGCATCGTGTATTATGCAAGAGACTTATTATATTCTCTTGCATAAGACATATGGAAAAGATATAAATTTTTGGCTCGTGTGCATCTCACATTTCACGAGGAAAACGTTGTCTATCTCTCTATGGAATTCATGGCATATAAATATCACACACGTGTCTGGAGTCATTATATCAAGCTTGAAATGTGACTGTGGCGGTTTTCACTTGTCAATTAAGTTTTTGTCCTCTTTTCTGGAAAAACTTGACGAGTGAAAATCCAATATTTATCTTCAACATTAAGGCGATTGGCTCTAATAGCGCACACATTAGAGCTCTAATGTCTCTCTTTCTCTCTCTCTCTCTCTCTTTTTACCGTTATAATTATTTATAATTGAAATTGAGTTTATAATTGAAATGACCGCATTTATCGCTATTAACCGTTCCGAAAAGGACTCAAATAGAGTCGAATGGCGTACGCGTTTTATAAGCTTGCGTCACACTTCGCCACTCGTCCGATATACGCCAACTCCGCAGTTTCTCTAACGCACAGTTATTTCTATAACGATCATCGCCGCCGAGCATCGCCGCGCGCCGCGATTCTCCAAAAAGATAATTTTATCTCACGGAGGGTTAAAGATGAGTCACGCTCTCTGTTTTCAGTGCGCCAATAAGCCGCGCGTTCGCATCTACCTCGTGAAGGCTGAAGGCTGATCGTAGACAGAGCTTTTTCTTCCTCCCGGGGGGAGAGGCGGTGGTGGTGCAGCAACGCTATCAGCAACGGCGGCGATTGGCGTCGGGGTGCAGCCGTTATCATCCGGCTATCATAGCACAGTGCCACCCCAGAACGGAAGGGGTGGTTCGCCACTTCGTGTCGCGGCGATGGTAGCAGCTGCCTCCGCTACGGCCACCGCCACTGCCAGCGTGGTGGCCATGCAGGACCGCCAGGACATCCCCTCGCAATTCAATCAGGTAAATGTTTGGCTAGCTCTCACGTTATCAATGCCGCGCCGCGACTAGAGGGAATTCTGATTCATACGTTACATAGACCGTTAACAGAGTGTGCTATCCGGAATAGTTGAGCAAGGCGAATTGGTAAATTGGTAAAATGATACGGTCCTTGACGTGGATATTTTTCCATCGTCGTCTTTCTCTTCGCGTCGTAAAAACACCTAAAGGTAAATAACGAAGATATATGAAGAGAAAAAATTCACGCGTTAAGACAATTAAATGATTAAATTTTTTATTTTAAATGTTTTTGTCATAATTGTTAATTTACGGCATTTTTTATGTAATGCGAGAAATATAGTTTACTTACGAATTATAAGTATTCCAAAGTATTTCAATCGATCGTTAATTAGCGTTAGTTTGCAATTTATTCAATTTTATTATTTTATTACGAGCATAATATCATTTTTTGGAGAAATAAATTTTTGATCATGGTTGTAGATGTATTAAATTATCGAATGGAGGAAGACTACAAAAACGAATCTCTTATAATTCCATAACAAAACGTATCTCAAAATTCACGTATCACACAATACTCGGTGTCTCATAAATTATTTTTACTTCTTTGGAATTTTATGAATTTCTAAATGAATGCTCACGTTATTATTAGATGCAGAGCCAACATGGAATACCCCACCAAACGTACAACGCGGGGTACGGCCAAAGAGGACCAATGGCAGGAATGGGGCCAGTCGGAATGAACAATTTTAACAGCATGGGCACGATGAGCCCGATGCACACTATGAATTCCATGAATTCGATGAACAGTATGAATGGCATGAACTCGATGAATCCCATGACAATGGGAGGAATGAACGGTATGAACGGTATGAACGGTATGAGCGGTATGAATGCTATGAACGGAATGACACCCATGAACTCCATGAGCAACATGGGTAACGTAGCCATGAACAACATGATGGGACCCAACAACATGCAAATGAACAAGATGCAGGTATTTATCTAAAATCCAACGTGGCGATTATAAATGTACTTAGCTGCGTCTCTTAGGTCAGCCGTGATTCGCTAAAAGACAATTCATGAGCGAGATTTATCTCAGTCCTGTATAAATATTTTATATCGATCTTCTTGCATTATTTCTAGCTTTGTTACAGTAGCGTATATCTCGGCTGACGAAAGGCGCGTCTCTGTTCTTCTCGGTAGTAGCGTGTATTTCTGTGTTTCTAGGCTCAGCCGCATCAAGGCTATCAACGGAGATTAGCGCCTTATCCGACCCCAGCCATGCATATGGCGCAAAAGCGGCAGCAGGTTCCGTACGCTGCTCAGAATCCAGCGGCTATGCAGCAGGGTTTCAACGGCATGACGGCGGCCCCGAATTATCCGAATACCTATCCCACCGGAGCGAGGCCGAATTTCCAGCAACAGTATCAGTCTATGCAGAGCATGAATCCCACAGCGGCCGGCTTCGGGCCCAACGCGATGATACGAGGGACGAATATGAGGCAAACGGCGCCGGCTTACAATGCCCCGTCTCAGACGGCCGCCGCAAACCAATACGGCTACGGTAGTAACGGGGTTCCCGGTGTCTGCATGGTCCCACCTACCTCGGTTGGCAACCAGTTCGTCGGTCATCAGCCGAACACGGGATATGGCGGCGGCAACGCGTCATACGGCGCGTCCGCCGTGGCCGCCCAGTCACTGGCGACCAGTCAATACCAGCAAGAGGTGGTATCGATGAGATCGACGAACGGGGGCAACGTGAATTATCAGCACAGTCCCATCCCCGGTAATCCGACGCCTCCGTTGACACCCGCCACCAGCATGCCGCCTTACATCAGTCCGAATCCGGACATTAAGCCTAATTTCAATGAGATGAAATCGCCTGTCAACATTCAGAGTAAGTGCGATTTTCGGATATCACGCTCTCATGCTTCAACATAAATTATAATGGTGTCTTGAGTTAAAAAAATTATGTCAACGAAAGACATGTAATCAGATGCACAATGTTCATTTGCCTAGTTCCAAACCACGGAATGTGTTTATTAGATGTAAAGTTGGAAATGTTGATACGCACGACATTTTAGATTACAGACATTTTTCTAACATTTATTTGTGCCTCTAAAACAATATTGAGCAATATTGAGCAATCCTACGTTTGTTTCAGATGATGAATTGAGACTAACATTCCCCGTAAGAGACGGTATAATTCTTCCACCCTTCCGCCTAGAGCACAATTTGGCTGTTAGCAATCATGTATTCCAACTGAAGCCCACGGTGCATCAGACGCTAGTTTGGCGATCAGATCTGGAGCTACAGCTAAAATGTTTCCACCACGAAGATAGACAGATGAACACGAATTGGCCGGCGAGTGTGCAAGTCTCCGTTAACGCGACTCCCCTTGTGATCGACCGCGGGGACAACAAAGCTTCTCACAAGCCTCTCTACTTGAAGGACGTCTGTCAAGCAGGAAGGAACACAATACAGATTACCGTATCCGCATGCTGTTGTGTAAGTTTGAGGATATCAATAATTAAACGATAGTGTTTACGTAATTCGGAGATAAAACGATATTCGTTGCAATGTTAATCTTTGGTACGCTTAAGAACAAGTTTTTGCTTCGTGCAGATAGATTTTATATTTTTTATTGAATATATTTGCGCAAGATGTGCATGATAGATCTATTTATCAATTATAAACTTAAAATAATTTTTATTTTTTATTCTTTATTTTTTATTATTTATTTTTTATTTTTTATTATTTATTATTTATTTTTTATTATTTATTTTTTATTTTTTTTATTATTACATGCATTCTTCAGAATATGTGTGTAATACGATTACAGTCACATCTATTTGTACTACAATTGGTTCACCGACCCAGTGTGCGAAGTGTACTTCAGGGATTATTACGTAAAAGGCTGTTGACGGCAGACCACTGTATAACGAAAATTAAAAGAAATTTCAGTAATACGATGTCGAACAATGGTATACAATCAGAGAAAGATGTAGTGGAACAAACAGCACTAAAGGTAAAATTCACAAAAGCATTTTGAAGCTCTCTTTTAATCCTATAGCTCTGTAGCACGAAATGTCAATAATGTTTTAAGCCATGTACATCTTATTGCGTGCAGGTACTCTTAAAATGTCCTATTACCCATAAACGCATTACACTGCCAGCTAGAGGACATGAATGCAAGCACATACAGTGTTTCGATTTGGAATCGTACTTGCAAATGAACTGCGAACGGGGTAACTGGAGGTGTCCAGTATGCTCGTAAGTATAACTAAATTGTCAATTGTCAATTGTCATTTTTTATGCATTCATTGGAATTAAGGGGAAAAAATATAAAACAAATTTTTGCGTATTTTACAGGAAATCCGCGCAGTTGGAAGGCCTAGAGGTTGATCAGTATATGTGGGGTATTTTGAATACATTAAATACCACCGAAGTTGACGAAGTGACGATAGACTCGCTCGCTAACTGGAAACCCGCGAAAAATTTAACTAATATTAAATCCGAAGAAGAAAATGATTGTAAAAGAACAACCAAGGCCATGTCGCCAGGCAGTATGAATATGCCAACAATGAACAATTGGGATATGAATCAGGCTATGAGTCCTTACATACCGCCCGATATGAACAGCATCGTGAGCGGCTCGATGATGAACAACACATCTTCCACGTATCCGAATAACAGTATAAACCATCGGAATACGTCCGGTGGAACGTACGAGATAAACTCTGGGACGAATACTATCGGCAATAATGATTACGTCAGTGGAACAGGTCCGCTCTCGCACTTAAACGAATCCGTTAATTCTTTAGATCCTCTCAACGCTATGGAGAAATCACTCAATGACCAGGTACGTTTTGCTGTAATGTCGATTGTGCTCGGACAATAGTAATATAGAAATACATAAAAATAATGACAAAATGTTAAATGTCAAATGACAAATGTTACAGATAACAAATGTTTTAAATATATGATGTATACATTACAGTTGTATACATTACAGTTGTATACATTACAGATGCCTCATACCCCTCATACGCCGCACACTCCGCAATCTACCCCTCACACGCCAGCTGGTGGTGCCAGCGGGCCGCCGAGCGTTCCGCCCGCGTCGCAAGAATCCACGGGAAACCACAACACCTCCGGCAATACGAGTACAACCATAAATAACGACACCGCTACGGACATACCGTCGGACTTAAATTTCGATCCCGCTGCAGTTATAGACGGGGAAGGTACCGGCCAAGAGGCGTTAAATGTAAGTAAATCACATCGTGTCAAATTATCGCGTCGTATCTTTTGTTGCAAACCGGAATATATTTTTTTTTAAGGTAAAGCGTTTTACAAGTTTGTTCAACAATATGTTATCTACTATTACAGCTCTTGCCAGACAATGTGGACGCAATGGAACTTCTCTCATATCTCGATCCTCCGGACCTAAACACTCCACCTAGTAGCGGCGCTAGCAGTGGTAATCCTTCCTCTAACGACGACATATTGGCACTCTTTGAATAAGAAAAAAAATGAGATAAAAGGCGAGTGACTATTTCGTAAAAATGTAATCAAATTGTGACCCCCTCACTTTGTAACAAAGTGATGAACGAGTGAACATGTCTCGCTGCAAACGTTCTTCTGACTACAGTATGCTTTCGTGCAAGTTTCTTAGAATCCTGTGGAATGAACGAAGTTGAATGAGATATTCAATTTTTGTCTCTGATAGGAGAATAAATTTGGAAGTCTACTGTATGTGAGCGCTTGCGGTAAAAAAAATTAAATTTTACTGGGGTCACTGTAGGTGCTCTCACCTAATCAATGGTACAAATAATCTTAGTTATAATTATAATATTCCTATTAAAATTAGAGTTAAAAGGCTAGGGTTAAAGAAATGATTTTTAACGATAATACAGCAAACACCATACTATTTGTAAAGACGTTATTGCATGGACGACATTATCGATAGTGTATATAATATTATTGGAAGGTATGTTTTTGAAAAGATAGAGAAGAGGCGCGTTAAACATGCCAGGCAAATATTCCAGAAACGATTTTAAAACAGCACACCTGAATATTAGAAAATGATATTAATGATATAAATGATTATTATAGATATTCAGCTGTGTTATCATGAATCGTGATGATGGTCAATAGAAAATATTTATCTAAAAATCATTGTTAATTTGTTTTAAGTTTGCCTTATAAGATCGCATTTCTATATATTTATTTTTGTGTCTATCAAAATAAATTATACTAATCGATGAACTTTGATTTGTTTGAATCATTTTCGAATATTTGCTCGAAAGGAACATGCTGTGCTAATCTATATATATATATATATATATATATATATATATATATATATATATATATATATATTGTTTCGGAATATTTCGAAGTTGTTCGTGCAATAAGGTCTTTATACCCGAAAACCGGTCTATTCGCATTCAAGGCTATGATAGACCTATGTCGTGACAGAAAGATACTTGTACAGACATACTTTTGTAAATAAATTTTAAATCGAGATAAAAGTAAGATATTCATCGGTTGGAAATTTTCCGCCTATTGATGAATATTGTGCATATAGTGTTCCTTTCCTTTAGATTGTAGCAACAGATGGAAATGAATAAACTAGGGGATATCGGGCTTCACACTGGAAATTCAATAAGAACATGTGATGTATCTCCCGAGATAGAAATTACAGATATAAAATTAAAAAGAAACATAAAGAAAATGATATTGACTTAAATAATGTCTCTTTAAAAGTGTAATAATTTTATTATTTTCAAGAGATTTTAGCTCCATGCAAGGATATCTCTCTGTACGCACATATGTAAATAAGTGATAGAGAAGAAAAATGCATGTGTGGATTTAACATTTCGGAAATTTTAATACTTAAAACGAGTTGTTTACAAAATTTCCTTTATCACATACTAATATAATTTTCCAGTTACAATTTTGGAATTACAATCTATTTTAGACGAAATGTGTATATATATATATATATATTTAATGTTATAATATATATTATAATATATTTAATATTATTTATATATATATAAATTTCATATATATATATATAATCTCAAAAAGAAAGAAAATGGCAAATTTTCTATGCCTTCTAGTGATATTTGCAACCTCTGAAGATACATCAGAATATTTGCACATATAGAATTTATTTTCACATTTTGATATATGTCAATATATGTATATTTTGAGTTAACTTGCTTATAAATAACTAAATTTCTGTATAATACATATATTTGAACTATTATTATTTTAGATTGACTTCTGTGCATTACGATTAAACTTTTTTTATCATTGAGTTGTGGTGTACACTGCTTTTATCATTGCCGTCAATTAGACTTTTATCACGATCCATAAAGTAGTTTTCCGGATCAGTTGAATAATGAATAATGAAAAATATAAATTATGCATGAAGTTAATAGCAATATTTACACAAGGCCTTAAGGAAATCGTGCACCGTATGATCTGTATTATATAATCAAATTTTATATAAGGAGGAAGAATCAAAATTTTTCGTGGGAGAAATATATATATATTGCAGAATAATTACGCACAGGCTTATTATGTATAGAAATAATTATATACTCGAACTTATTATTTACACAATGAATTGCATTCGCAACAATTCAGTATGCGAAAATAAATTCTGTATATCTTCCTGCACAATCCAGCGGTAAACTGATTTATCATTTCATAAGAATGTAAATCAGGTATCCGTATGTAAAAAAGAGATACTGCCAGAGTGATACCGCCCAAGACCCCCCCTCCCTGCTTGTGTAGTGGTTATAATAATACATTTGTATCTTTTGTGATTAAAAGAGAAGATATATACTTAAAGCGACTCGTGTAGATTATACAGATTTTATATAAAAGATGTGTGTGGGTGTATATGTACCCGTGCACACACATACACACACACCAGTGTGCAACGCTAGCACATAGCGAACGATTAGACACAGTCAAGTTTCTATGCATATAACTATAATTATTGAGATTTAGATTTTAATATTACTTGTATTAAGCGCGACTATTGTATATTATTTGTATATATGGTAAATAGAATAATAATATAAGAAAAGTGGCAGATACTTATTGGCCAGTTATAATAGTAAAATGATTATCCTAATTATTTCTCAGAACCAAAACGTACACGAGATGTATGAGGATACTTTAAACTAGAGAATGTAACATGTAAATGGCTGATGAAACGACGATAACAAGTACAGTCGAATATTGTACTGTTATTTCTCTAATAGAATTATTACTTACTTATTAAACAAAAAAACATAATTACCTAAAGAAGTTTATTCAAACTGTAAGCTTTACTTAGGATTGCCAAGAAGTAGTATGCGCAACCCTGTTGCGATTGTACATAGGCAATGTTTACCTATACCTAGCTAATAATACCCCTAAAATATTATACACGATACACCGTCTTAGTTTATGAGAGTCCTAGAAATTTATAGATATTTCGTGAGAAATCATCGAAAACATAAGAAACGGCATTTCATTTTTATTATAAAAGGTGATAATAAGTTGATTATAATGACAACATTTTTTAATTATATTCTTACAGTAATTTGCATTGTAATTTGAACAACATGTAGATGGTTAAAAAAATAACGCAATTATTAAGAGACGATTTCACGTCTTTTTCCCCTTTTTTTAGCAGATCGACGGCTAAGGCAAATTGCCGTATGCCAATTTGCATGAATTTTTATCGCAATAATAGGAGATAATTTATTATTATCTAACGAGACTTCTACAAATCTCTGTGGCTCTAAGATTACAATACCTATTTATCTATCGTTAGGAGGCCTATAATTTGATTTTACAATGCTCTACGAAAAAAAACCAGATAATCCGCGACTACGGATTACGCGTGTCGTCTTGTCCAAGGCCTGGAAAAATAATGAAACGAGATATTATATATTATCATGTAACCGTATCGTACTCATGGTGTATCGGCTGCGCGGATCGCGGGCTCTGTTAATTGCATAACGTATACGGAATATCGATATGTCCACGTGATTACGCATTGCATACTTATGATGGTGTATTGGAAGTTTATTCCCACGTACGCAGAATTTTTTACCAAATCATATCAAAGGATCCACATTTCCAACGATATTTCTCGACAAATCTGAAGTGTTCGCTCAGCAAGTACATCATGAGTATTGACGTCGGTCCATGTCGCATGGTCTGTCCGTTTCAGATGCGCTTCTTGTACTACAAGCGAAATACGAAACGCTTTACATTCGAGCCAAGGGGAGGGAAGAAACTAAATGCAGAAGCTGCAACTTGACGAACAGACCTGCAGTTCGCAAAACGCGGAAGAATGCGCATTATAAATTGAAAATAAATTGAAAAAAAGAAGAAACACACTGATATCATTGATCACATTCGCATAAAAGATTTTAATAACGACCAGTTTTTAAACATGTACTACAGACACAACATTGTTTCTCGATAACGGTTAGAATCATTCAATAAAAAAGTCATAAAACATAAACGGAATCGTGAATCATTTATTCCCGACGATAATCACCGAGGAATTAGTATACGAAACGAGAGATTAGCGAAGCTGGCAACGTCATAAGAAAATATTTGAAAATATGAGAATAAAAGAATACTTGTACTGACTGTATTTTAATTATAAGACCCGCTATTATACCTAATAATAAATGTTTGTTTTATTTTGTATTGTCGATATCGCGAGAATTACCGCGTTCATGCATCTGAGAGAAATATTTGGAAAACATTTTTTTAAAAGACATTAGATAATATCAAAGAGCAATTGTATAAATCAAAGATGGCACAAGCATATATATAAAAAACGTGACGTCTTTCGTTCTTCTCTTCAATTTAGCCACCTTTTAATAAAAAATAGTCATAAAAAAATGATAATTACTACACTCAATTTTTGTTTATTTTTGAAAATTATTATAAGTAAAAAATTCAGTAGAACATAATGTTCTGGAAACATGGCTCTGAAGATTCCTTTTGGAAGGGAAAGGGTTTGTTGGTCACCAACAATTGACGAGCACAAGTTAGTATTATATAACATCGTTTTATTAGATTTAAATTGAAATTGGTTATAAATTATGGTGATGAATTCGAATACTAGGACTAGGACAGATGGTTTTTCGCTGCTTTGCTCAGTATACTCAATTTTATATTGCATATTATGGTTGTCGAAGAATGAACGCCGTTGCTGAAATTTCTCTCCCGCTTTCTGCCTTCTTTCACACTCTCTCTTTCTCTCTCTCTCTTTCTTTTTTCTTTCTCTCAACACATACACGCACACACATACGCACACGCATTTCTCTCACCGTCCTTCTCTCTCGCTCTCGATTCGATAGAAACAATATTAATCGTTTGTATTAAGCATTTTACGCGCATTAATATAGAACCAACTTTTTCACCGGTCGGCGATCCCTTCTCTTTTCTCTCTATTCCGCATAATCGACGAACTACGGTGTACTCGGAGTCGTCGTGAACGCGCCAAACACGTTCGGCAATACTGCGCACTGGAAATCGGCACTTCACGCTGGCCGATCGTTCCAGGATCGTCGATTCCACGAATCCCGGTCTTCTTTCAACGCATTCTGGATTGGCGCGTGCAATGGGACTTCGATCTGTCTATATACCCTCGGGTACATCCGAGTTCATCTCATCGTTTCCGTAAGTCCAGAAACAATTCTCCTACCTTTCCCATCCCTTCGCGCCTAACGTTTGATTTGAACGGT